TCTTGGCCTTAAGTTTAATCAATTGTAAACTAGCTTATTTAAGGGGCCATGATCTTTTCATTGATGCAGACCCCAAACTCACCTGTAGCTTCCAGTAGTTCTGGAGGCAGAAAAACAACAAAAAGGATCATACTTGTTTGCCATGGAGTTTCCGAGGATAATAGGGTATGGTACTTTACTGACGGCACTGTGTTTTCACTTTTCACCTTATAGATTGTGTTTGCCAAGTGTAGGTTCACTACATAGCATAGTTAATTCGAAATGTTGAAATTAAATGATGGAACGTGAAATATTGTCTCGCTGTCACAATCTTGCAGGCCAGTTCTTCCTTCCTGGAGGATAAGCCAATGAACGTTCTTGGGACTATACAGGTAGAGCATCCATACAATTACCCTAGATAGTTTTGGAACTCATATTATTGTTTTTTCTGGATGCACGACAGTCCCAGAAAGTTGCAGAACTCCTTCTTGATCTAAAAGTGAGCGCTGTAATAAGCAGCCCCAAGAAAGCTTGTGTAGAGACAGCTGTAGCAGTTTCCAGAGTATGCTTTTATTATCATTCATGGTTCCTGCTTATATGTCTTTCACGGTTTCTGAATCACCACATTTTACCAATGTTTTCTCATTTCTTCCTTTCTTCATTTTCCTTGGAGGTTGCAGACAGTTTGAACAATGCCACATCAGAACTATGACGCCGATAGATCCCAAATATTCGAGTTACTTGGAACTTTCCATTTCTTGAGATGTCACTCGAGCCTAAACCACTAAACAATTGCCTAACTTCCTCCGTTTCTACCCGTCTATTTATAACCAAATTCCATAACAAACTTCCTATATAATTACCAAAATAAGCTTTCTACTCTAACAATATTCTTCTCTAATGGCATTCCTATCAGACGCATTTAACATTATATGAGTACACCGAACAGGAAGGTGCGAGACCTTTTAGACAGTGAATAGGACCAAATAGATGAAAAAACGTAGAAACTGGACCTCTCATTAGATTACGACCTATTCTTCTTACTCCCTTGACATTTTAGTTTTCCACTATTTTATATTGAAAGTGGAGTTAAGTTGTCTCCTCCCCGTTGAACAGGATATCCTTCAAGAATATTTTGGTTGGATTAAGCTGAAGTATGCATTAGGAGCACCATAGTACAAATCCTGGAGTAATTATTTATTAATTACTGTGGCAACATACTCTTCAAATGTTCTTCTTCTTCTTTGAATTTTCTATCCCCATGAATTCTTGGGTTTATTCTTAAAACCCTGGTCAACTTTTCTTATCAACTGACAATTTAAAAGCAATGAAACTCTTGTATACATGAGCATCATTAATTGTTTTGATGCAACCTAATTCAATCTAGCTTATGGAGACCTATGTAAAAAAGATTGGATGCGTTAAAGAAAAGCTTAGAAACTCTAAGTTCTCTTGAGAAGGTAAAAAGTCTCTTTTTATCAGACATGGCTTATTGGTTGTAGGTACAAGAAGCTGCTGATTGCTTGGGTGCTGATTGTGTGCCTCGCTATGTGGAGATGAAACAGACGAATAAACTTGATGTGGACAGTATTCCTGATCATTTCAAGCAGGCAAGATGTCTGGCCGTCGAATTTTAGAATAAAAGTAATATCTTCAAGGTTGTGGACATGCCATGATTAGGTTGATGAAAAAGTTGCTTATTTACCTTAGTATAAGTAGATGAATAAGTTGCTTATTGAAACAAATTGGAACATCCCAACGTTTCAGTTATCTCGTTTGGGTTTAACCCGACAGAGGGAATTTTTACTTATGAATCGGATGACTTTAAAAGGGGTATATTGATTTCCTTGAATACGCCATAGATCAACCTTCAAACTTATAACTTTACTTTTCCTGTTCAATCCAATAAAATTTCCATTCTAACATTCTATGCTCTTCATTCTGTAGGATATAGGCGACACCAATGTCTTTGAACCTGGCTGGTTAAACAAATTGAACGGTGGGGTGATTACAGAAGTGTGGAATCAGAGTGGTGAAGCCTGGAAGTCTCTGTTGAATGAGATGAATGATGAAAAGGAGCCGGAAAAGATTATTGTTGTGGTTGGCCATCCTGCCATTCTTTTAGGATTGGTGGGGCAGTGCCTAAATCTCACAAAAGATTGGATTGGATCATTTCATCTGGATGCCGGAAGCATTAGTGTGCTTGACTTCCCTGATGGACCTAGTAGCAGAGGTGTTATCCGATGCATTAATTACACTGCTCATCTGGGGAGATGGTCAATTCCTATAACTAGACCTACCGTGGACGATGAAGAGTTTTAACGGTAAACGCAGAAATCTAAAATTCACTTGTGCAGTATACCTAAAATACTCTTTGATTCAAAGAAAAGATAACATAGTTAGGACACACAGCTGTCATTCTTACGCTGGCTTTTGAATGTGGCCTCTCTATAGAAGCCAAAGATTGTTTCAGAACGATCATATTTTCATTCTGTTCTCTTTCTGTTGTTGGGTAAGAAGTTTATTATAAAAAACTACTATCGAACACAGTCCGTGTTCAATGATAGAAAAAATTCTCTCCTCATTTTTTTTTCTTATACCAGTGACAAATTACATTTGAAGAAAAAAAAAATTGATGTAGGTGATGGACAGAAAACACCTAAAGGAACTCAACTTCGATAGAATTCGCCCGAACAGCATGTTGATGTTTGAAATTGCCATATGCAAGAAAACCTTGGGTTTGTTTGAGACAGAATCTTGAAGCTATCACAAAGAGCTGTTGAAGATAAAGAGAGTAAACAGTCTATGATCAAGTTCGTTGTTTTATAAGTTGTCAGTTAAATATTATATTTTAATATTTTTGTTCGAATTGTATTTGTGTTGTACATTTTGGTTCGGTTATTATAAACATCAGAAGTTATATAGTAAATGGTTGAGCTAGCCTAATTACCTGGGCCATGTATCGTCTAACAATATTTTTATCTAGTTGGGCTGTCTACTTGGACCACAGGTTTCTCCTACCATTTGCATCTAATTGGGCTAGGTTCTTGGGTGATCTATCAAGCCGAGAAATGGGTATGTCCGATGCTATCAATTTCCGTGTCGGTATTCTCAAGTTCGACAATTTTACGCGCTGAAAATGGCAATTTTTTTAAACAGGAAAAGATGGCTTTCAAGTTCATCGATGGGTAGAGATTGACGTCTCTGCTCGTGCTGTGTGCGGCGATCCAATCACAAAACATGGATCCAACGGTACACATCTATCCTAATGCAGCAAGTTTAAATTATGAAAAAAAAAAAAAAAAAAAAAAAAAGGGATCATTTTGCCGAAAAACAAACAGTAGTACCATTTTAAATACTCATCGTGAAGATATTTTACATATCCAACACAGAGAGCCAGTGACTGATATTCAAGCTGTTGGAGCTGGCTTGGTACGAATAGCCGGGAAATCAAGCAGCACAATCTTTTCAATGGCTGCCGAGAAAGTTGCAGAGAATTCAACATGCTTGGGATGCCCGACAAACGCAGCGTGAGCTTCCTTGTTCTCGAATGTCATCAAGAAGGCGTGCGTGAAGCCCTGTGTAAGCATCTCTGGTCCCTCTATTTCCTGCCCCCTGTTTTCACCTTAAAACATTCATCTTTCTTCTTCCTTCCACTATAAATTATGTGAAAAAAAATCATGTTTACCCTCTGATTAATTTTAACACATCTTGAAACTAAATTATAAAATTATCACAAAATTACATAAAATAAAACATTCTACATCATGTCATAAGATTGTCCATCCCAACCATAGAAATACTTAAAACTTTGGGTCCAACAAGAGCGGAGGTTTGTAACATTTTTATATATAATATTTCCATTTTAGAAATGTAGGTGAAAAGTTAGAGAGAGCCTTAGAATCTTTTTTTGTTTTTTTTTTGGGGTAGTATTTTAATCTGAGTACTAAGAGGTGCCATTATCCCTCCCTTCGCTTCACTCTTGGGTTCACACCAAGCTAAAAAGCATCCAACAAAACTGAAGAAACCAATACCCAAAGAATAGCTTTGAAATTTTAATATTTTAACAAAGGTGGGGAAGATTACCACTCAAAGGATTTGACAGCTTCGACTTCAGAGACGAGATTCTCCATGCCTTTGAGAATCTCTTCTACCGCCGCTCCTTCCTTAAACTTTACGAGCACCAAATGCTTGAACTCTCCTCCCATGGCTGCTCCACCCTTGAACTCAGAGGCCCCTCGCTCTTTATATGTATATATATATAAACACACATCGAGACATTACGTTAGATTGGATGTCACTGTTTATGTGCACCGACACAGCTCACGTGCATTTCTTTTCTCTGCCGACTCAAATACTATAAAAGAATTGTTGTTCCCCATCTTCCTCGACAGCATCTCTTGCTCAATATCTGAAAAGGCACACCATCAGATAAGACTTAGACCCACGACTTCGACCTCCACTTGTTTGGATCTATTTTTTTAAGAGTATATCCATTTTTATTTTTTTCGTCCAAACTGATTTTGGGTTCCGTATGTTATCGGCCTGCCTATCTGTTTGACATGATTGTTCATGGTGGAAACAAAGCAGTTCTTCTAGGAAAATCATATGACTTCCTTGTTGCAATCGAGTCATGATACTGTTCAGTTTAGACAACTAGATTAGCAGTAACATGCCTCTGCTTATACCCGTTCAAATTCACTCATCCACTTATGGCTTGATATGATCAAACTGTTCCAAGATCACATGACTGTCACTTAAAACTCTAATCAATACCTTTTTCAAAGTTTTTTTTTTTTTTTTTTTTTTTTTTTTACTGAGATACACTTCTACTTGTATAAATTTTTGAGTTCTTGGTAGGGTCGTGTAGTTACATCTTGAATTTGTTTGCATTTGACTGGTCCATCCTTGGTAACTACTTGATTTTTTATTTTTTTGAAAACTAAGCTTATAAACATTAGTTCGATATTCTTTATTTTGTTATCTAATTTGTGTCCATGTTTTTAAAAACCATGAAAAGATAACCCTTTTAAAGATTTGTTTTTTGTTTTTAGATTAGTAAAGAAGTTTAAAGCTTTAAAGTCTATATTTTTAGTCTTAAAAACTCCACTTAAATTTTAAAAACATTCTTAAAAAACAGATAAGGTTGGTCTATACTTCATATGTTATCTAGGCAATAATGTTCCCTAAGACTGAGTTGTTGGTATTTACTTATTTATCACTACTTGTATAAGAACTAAATTGATATGTCCCAAAAATACCGCCAGTAGAAAAAGAAAAGATGCGCCTCTATTAGTGGTAGTTTTAAATTCTTATTTCTTTTTCCTAAAGGAGAAAAAGAAAAACTCTTGGGGGGGTATGGTGGTGGATCCAATGTAAGGTAATACAGGCTAAAAGTTATTTGGGGCCATTATGGTTTTGGTAGCTCTGCTTTTGCACATGACTATTGACTGGGTTACTGGGTCGACAGGTTTTCCTTTTGATTCACATTCACATGCCAAATTTTTTCCTTTCATTTTTTTCCAATTTGTTGTTCTTTCAATTCAATTCCCTCCAACCTTTTCTCTCTGTCATTACCATGTGAGCATCCTTTTGTCCATTAACTTTATCTCAGTGGAAAATGTAGTTTTCTGCTTATCTTTTAGATTCTGTATGAGGAGAAAATGATGAGCTAAGTTAAATATTCTCATCTGCTGTGGCCTCTGCCTTACATTATATTCCCCATACTATTCAACTTCAAAATCCAATTTAGGTTATGCTTTGATAGATTTGAATAAAAAAATACATCTTATGAAGACAATCAGATACATTTTCTTAAAAATACTTTTGTACACATTTTTGTTTTTTGTTTTTTGTTTGCTCTATATACAAATGAACTGATAACTTTAAATTTGTATTTACTCCATGATTGTTCGACCATTGCCGGTATCTGCTGGCTGAGGGTGACAGTTGTTACTAAATATTGGGCGGTGATAGTTATCATGACAGACGAAAGTGGTTGCCACCGATAGCTACATCATCAGGAATGAATGAAATCAATTGATTTCTCTTACGAAGGTAATTTATGAATATTTTGGTCACATTTATATTTATTATGAAATTTTAGGAGGTTTTTTTAATTGCACACTCAAACCACTTTTTTTTTCCGAACTAAAATTCACTTATTTCTCAAATTGAGTGGTTTTTATGGGATTTAAGTATTTAGTACCTCAATGTTCTGTTGATATGTATATCTGATATTTTGCATTTTGAGATATTGAGATCCGTGCATTATAGTGAGTCCCCAGTATTCTTATAACGTCAGATTCGTTGCAACTCCCAATAATTTGAATAATACATTGAATGTCTGATCACTGCAAGCATGCCCTATTCTTTGTTTTTTAAATTACGAGTAAAGGTTCTAAGATTTTAACATTTTTAGGTCTTTGATAGTATACAAGTATTTAATAAATTCTTTTATTTTATATTTTATATTTAGTTAAATATATATATATATATATATATATATATATATATATATAAATTTATAGACTTCTTAAAAAATTATAGATTAGATTACTGTTGTATTTAAAATTTAATAAATCTGTTACTTAAAAAAAAATGTCGGAATATATTTAAATATTTATTAAATAAAAAAATTGATAGACATTTAAATGTTAGAAATCAACTACTTGTAGGGCGAAGTGTTTATAGTAGAAGCTAAATAAGTTGTGCATCTTTTATCTTTTACAGTTTTAAATTTATTTCTAAAATATTTGAATATCTCGATCTTTATTTATAATATACATCTTTATCTTTTACACTTGTTGTCGTGTTATAAGAGAAATTATCTAAGTTTTTTTAAACCATTGGTAGGAACTGTATAATAATTAAATCAATTTATCACCTAATATTTGAATATTATCATAAGTATGTCAAGTAGTCAATAAACTAATGGAATTAACATAGAAAAGAAATAGAGTACACAAGCTAATAAGAAACTAAATAAACACGATCATTCATTGCAATTATTGAAAAAGTTATTAAATGTTAATTTGCATATTAATAAAATTTTGAGTTTAATGAATGATATTAAAAGCTTAGTAAAAATAAAATTATTTTTTTAAAAAGGTCACTGTCGGGATTTCACTGAGGTGGGGAAGGATATTTCTCGCACGTGCCGTAGGGTTGAAACATGTAAACGGGAATGATGGTGATAATTTGCGGACATTCCATATCAACACTAACATAAACAGAGGGGTTTGTTCCAGAAGTTTTGGAATCGATGACTGTTGTGGCCGTTTGTCTTCATCTAATCAAGCGTCTTATCGGCACTCCAATGCATCTAACGCCATTTTGGAAGATGAATTTCATGGTTTATTGGAGTACAATCAATCAATCTCGTCGGGGGAACCATATTGAGCAATTCGACAATTTCATGGTCCCCTGTTCTTTCTCTCAGAAAATGCTTCGTATCCCGCAAGATGATGCCTATCAAGTTGTAATGGATCCTGTTGTTGAGGGATTTGAAGACCCTGAAAGCCTTGTTGTGGGATCTGGAACTGGAAGTCAGGTGAAGGATGAAAGCGAAGCATATGTGAGGTTGCGCTTGGCTGAAGAAGATGGTTATAGGGCAAATTATGGATCATTAGTATCAAAACATGAACAAGATTTGAGCGACATTGATGAAGATAGTGGAAATTCAACAAAGCCTGATGTGTTTAGCAGAATCCAGTTTGCAAGTCATGGAGCTGAACAGAGTGTTGTTCAAGATACTGCCATCAATTTAAACTGTAGAAACAAGCGGCGGCGGCGGCGGCGGCGGCGTTACGAGGATACTTCTACATCCTTGATGACCTCCTCAAAACGGGCGTTGCCTTGGGTAAAAAACCATAAGAAACATTTGGGTATGTTCTTGAGGGATTCCAGTTCAAACCCTTCAGTTAAAACTGGAGAAAGTAGAACAAACAAGCGTCTGAGAAACAAAAATGTCGATCACAGGGTTTGAACTTGGATCCCTCAAGGACATTTATTAACTAAATGTTATAAATATTATTCTCTATTCTGTTGAGACCTTCGAGTTGGAGAGATTGCAGAGCAAAGCCACTTGGGTTGAGTTGGAGAGGTTTGAGAGAGAAGCAATATAACCGATAGAAAAAAAGCGAGAGGAGTGCTCTTCGTAGCTAGCTCGAGATTAGCCTAACACTGTTTCCATTGAAATAATTTCTAAAATTATTATGGCTCATGTGCTTCGGCTACAAAAGTTGGTGCAAATTAAAAAATATATATATTTAATACGTTTCTAATTTAATTTTAAAATTACGAATGTTCGAGACATTTTTCTTTATAATAAGTTTACTTCTCTCTATCAAATATATTAGACATAAAATTAAATTTAAATTTTGACATAGGCTCTATAAAACTTGTGTACAAACATCCGAACTTCACAATATACGGTAAGAAAAAGAACTATTCTGGATATGTTGCTCAATTCTTATTTGCACCAGCACGCAGTTTCTCATAAAGGTGGGGAAAACAACAAGGAATCTGAGAGTGATATTCAAATCAAATGGTAGCAGAGGTCTGCAACTAAGCAATTATTGGACAAACATTTCTTCAATAACAAAATTAACATAGGTCCAGAAGCTGAAAACCTCTATGAAATTAATATGATGCTGAGAGAGACTGTGTCACCTCATTCCTTCTTCCCAATCCCATGAGACATGTTATAAATTCCTCGTCCCTGCGCGAAACGGGAGCAGACCCGCGTTATCCGTAATGTTATACAACTAGTTTCAAGTGTTTCAATATGGTTGAGAAAGTCTTTAATTAACTTACTATAAGATACAAGGATGAAGCTGCCAAAGCAATTGGGATGGCAACAGAGGTGACCTTATCCAATGGCCCTTTTAGATATGTATGCTTCTGGATGCTCTGGAAATACTTTTGCCTTTCAATCAGTTTCTCACGCGGCCTAAACGGCTGTTCAGTCATCCTGCATGATAATTCAAATACAAAATAGGTGAAATTTGCAAATCTGTGCTTACATGTTTCATTTCTTCTGTATAACAAACAATCAAATTCAAGGACTCTGGAAAGTGTTTAATCTATCCATTCTAAAGCACTGACAGTAACAGTATGAACAGAAAGTATCTGACAATAAATTTTCGAATGCATGATTATTAGCTTACGACTATAGAATCGGTTGTGTGATCCTACATCAGTCGGAGAGGAAACGAACCATTCCTTATAAGGGTGTTGAAACCTCTTCCCAGCAAACCATTTTAAAATCTCGAAGGAAAACTCAAAAAGAGCAATATCTGCTAGCCGTGGACTTTGAGATATTACAAATGGTATTAGAGCAAGTCTCCGGGCAGTGTGCCAGCGAGGACGCTGTGCTTTCAAGAGGGTGGATTGTGAGATCCCACATTGGTGGAAGAGGAGAATAAAGAATTTCTTATAAGGGTGTGGAAACCTCTCCCTAGCAGACACGTTTTAAAACCTTGAAGGGAAGTCCGAAAGGAAGAGTCCAACAAAGACAATATCAACTAGCGGTGGGCTTGGGCTGATACATTGGAGCTTGGGCTACATTGATACAGCTCTACAAAACAGAAGAATATAAAAACTCAATCACCTGCTATCTCGAAACAGTGGAATCCCCATCAGTCAGATGACATTGATTTCCAAATTTTATCCTAAGGCTCAGTTCAGAGACCCACTACTCATTGGTCACAGAAGATCCATAGATAAAATGAACATCCCATGCACAGTTCTTAATTTTCTGCCGTCCATTCTCACACACACATCTGATTCACCAATTCAATAAATCCCATATATGATTATGAGTCGATGAAACTAAACCCCTATCCCCAGTAGCTTCAGCTAGGCTAGCCCTATCTCAAAGATAAAAATAACAATTACTCTCGCTTCGAGCTGCTGAAGAATAAAGCAAGTCTCATTGCCACATTGTAAGCAAGGAAATATGAACAAAAATTAAAATTACACGAAAATAAGTTGAATAACCATCAAACTGAACCCATCTCAAGATGCGTATTTCAATCGAATAGGGAAACAGCAAATAAATCTAAATCTCCGAAAACAGCTCACGAAATTGAAAACTAACATTACCTTTGACAAAACAAAAAAAAATTCGAGGAGGAAAATTCATTTCAAGAAGAAATACATAATAAACAACGACATTCGCGAAGCAGATTAACCAGAAAAAACAGATGGATGAAGACTTACAACAAAATCCTATATCAAACTATCAAAGCAGATCTATGAAACCTTAATCCTGAAGAAGAGATGGGAAAAGGGATTGAAACTCACATGAATAGGTTTCACCTTTCAGAAGAGCGAGAAATCGTTGATCCGAAGGGTACCGCTGATGGGGGTGAATGATAGACGACGACGACTTCTGCGATGCGAGAGGAAGAAGACGGTGTTGGCGTACTTTTTTTTCCCTCTCGTTTTTTTTATGAGCCTAAGATTCAGTTGTTGGGCTAGAATATGGGCCCAATTCGATAGACCAGCTCGCAATGGGTTAGTTTTAAAATACTTCTTAAAAATTTCAATAGTCAAAAAGTAATTTTATATTCAAATTTTAATAAACACAAACCTTCCACGTTTTTTAAATAAGTAAAAAAATTCTTATTTTTAATATTATATCCACGTTCGACCAACTAAAATGGATATAGTACAACTCGAACACAAGCGCCATTCTCCAAATGGATCACTGTTCAATTGTGATTGTAATAGGGATAAACAAGCTCGAACTATATAGTGCCCTATTTTGTTAGTACAAGTTACTTGGCTAGATCTTCCAACCTTTTTCACAATTTCAATTTACTACTTTATCTCGTAAACTCAGTAAACGCAGTTTGTTTGGATACAAAACGTCATCGGTTAAACTCTTGTTAAACTTATCTTTTGAACAATAATAAGAAATGAATTGAGATTCATAAAATTTAAAATACTCTGTCAAATCAATTCTTTTATAAAATTGACGATATTCAAGTAAAAAACAGGGCTCAACAATCTAGCTGGTAAAACCGAGACAAACAGTTCAATATCGAGAAACGAGTAGAAAGCTAAGCAACAAATCCAGTATTCTACTGGTAGCCCAATCTGGAACCAAGTATTTATTAAACAAAATTGCTTCAACAACAAATTTCACAAGGGTCATAACACCCTTTGAAATTTAGATGCAAAGACAGTGACCTCATTCTTTCTTTCCAATTCCGTTCGACATGTTATAAATTCCTCGTCCCTGTACGAAAGACATAAGCGAGAATCGAGATCGAAACAGTTAGATGAATCATTTAGCATTTTTTGAAGTCAACTGCAGTGAAGAGAGGTAAACTTACGATTAGAAACAGTGATGAAGCTGCTAAAGCAATTGGAATGGCAACAGAGGTGATTTTATCCATTGGCCCTTTAAGATAAGTGTGCTTGTGAATGCTCTGGAAATATTTTTGCTTCTCAATAAGTTTCTCGCGGGGTCTAAAAGGTTGTTCCGCCATTCTACCTTACAATTCAAGCCGAAAATTAGTCAATATATAAACAAACACATGCTTTTGAGATGTGCACCATAACCTTTGTAAACCAGTAAGCCTCTTGCAATTGTCCCAAATCTCATTTCCTTTATACCATAAATAAGAACCAAAAAAGAAGAAAAGTTCGAAGGCAACGGGAACGAGAACGAGTACAAAATGTTTACAATGATAAAGCTCAAGAACACGACACATTGCAAACGAGCTAGCAATCGAAGCTCTATAAGAGAAAGAAATATAATTACTAGAGTTACGACTGCCTCAAAATGTAACGTGTATTGATCAGAAGGCTCTAAATCAAAAAGGATTTATAGATAAATTAGGCGCCACCATGCACCAACCTTCATTTTCAATGGTTGAAACATGAACTAATCCACAAATGAAGTGAGCACTGTGAGAATCATTCTATGTGGAACTCAACACACGACACAGAACGGCACTCAAGACTTCCATCAATATCAAGCATTCATGAACAACAGCAGATATTAAGACAAGAGACACTAGTGAGATCCCAGACGTTACTACTCCATTTATTTACTAATGAAAACAACAACTTTCATTGAGAAAAAAAAAAAAAAAAATGAAAGACTACAAGGACATACCAAAAACCAAGCTCTGAATGGTACAAAATCATATGATTTGTATCCCTAACTCTCCCATGTGTCGTTTTCAACATTAAGCCCCATATGCCAGAAACATCTTAAGTGCATTGGTTGTTTAAAGTAAACCATATATTCACTTGGAAGAATTATATTTATCTTCAATCTCACACAAGTTCATATATCTGATCCACCAAATTTGACAAATCTCAAATATACAAGCCAGGAAAAGCTAGAATACCCCTTCCTAGCCAGACTTTTCCCAGTTAATCACACGAATTCCATCTTTAATGAACGAAGAAACAAGTACCCATACGAATGAAATGTGCTGTGAAACATTGAAATAAAATTAAAACCTCCTCACAATAACCATCAAATTAAATCTCAATTTCCAATAACGAGTGGTATAGTGAAACCAGTCCATGTTTCATTCAACGGGTAAACAATAACATCAAAACTTGATTCCCTAAAAACACTCATCGAATTGAAAATTAACAAGAGCACAGAAAGACAAAAAGAAATAAAGGAACCAATCATTTCAATAGATAAATCACAAATGAAAATGATCGAGAAACAGATCAACGAGGTAGTAATTGAAGAACAATTACAACATTGAAATTCCAATCCTAGATCAAATTATCATGGCGTTCATGAAACCTTGCTACCAATCCTAAAGAAGAAACCAGAGAATGGAGCTAAACTCACGTGAGGATGGAGAGCGGTAAATCGTTGCTTCAGAAGCTGCAGCAGATGAGGGCGAAGGAACGATGAGGACTTGGCAAATGTCTGTGATGAGAAGGCGGTTTCGTTTTCATTACTTTTTGTTTTATATAAATAAAGTTCATTTAATTATTTAACTATAAAAAATGTCGTCTTTTTATTAATTTAGACTATTTTTTAATTTATTTAAAATTAAAAAATTTACCAATAAATTGAACGTAATTAAGAGTTATTAAATTTATATCCAATATTCTGAGTACCCACCAAATGAAAAACCGCGGGATCCGAAGGCGGTAAACGACAAGCTGCGAAACACGGTTAGCAGCATCGCAGGCCTCCGCCAAAAGTTCTCCTCAATTCTTCTTGACCCATCCGCTCCAGCTTCCGGACTGATTTCTTGCTCTCCACTGGTTGTTGGTTCCCTAAGCCACCAAATTCGCATCAGGTTTGCTCCCTATCCAGTTTCATTTTCAGGAGTAAGATTCGGAGAATCGTCATCTGTCAATCTGAATTGGAGTTTGAACTTTTTGTTAACTGATTCGTTCTGTTTTCTTTGTATGTTCAGATTCATCTACGATGTTGTTGTTAGTTATGTTCATACTCTTGAAATGATTAGATTTGGTTTGATAAGTGTTTTCGGGGATTATAAGTTTTATTCTTCGTTTTATCCGTTTACTGACTAATTGGTAGTACTGGCTATCAGTACACTTCTGAGTAATTGAATTAAAATCGTTTACGGTTTCATCCAGTGCAGTTGTTTCGGTTCTATCCTCCAGTCAACTACTACGAAGCTTGGACAATGGTGGAGCGCGAACGCCAGTAATTTGTGAGCGTGTTTGGCTGCGTGCTTTCTGTAGGCTTCCAGCTAAAATGCGCTCCAAGGATAGGATTTCATACTTTTATGATGGTATTATTTAGTTTTCTCTTTCCCTTCTACAGCTATTCCCTTGACTTGCTATTAATTCTAATGCTCAAGTTCTTCCTGATCCAGCTTGGGGCAATTTTCTCTGAAATTATGAGAAATTTCATGAATTATAGGTGTATGTATTAAACTTACTGTTTTCTCCTTCCTTCCAAATCTATTCATTTCGATTTAATCTTTTCTTGCAAACCATCCAGCTAGAGTAGTAAAAAGCACATTGAAAGAATCACTGATTTATGGATTATTTCGTGATTGTATTCAAATATCGTCTATTTCTGCGCTGAACTTGTGCTGATGCCTATTAAGACATTTTATATTTATGTGATAATTGCAGATTAGAATCGTATGACTTGCCTATTTTCCAAGCCACACTTCTATTTTTTTAAAATGGTTTCAAATACCTAATGTTTTGTAGATTGCAAACCATATCCATTTATATGTTCTTTTTACTTTTGATGAAGTTGTACACACGACACATGTAGAAGTAAAGTTATGCATAATTCCATTCAAGTTAACGATAATATTTTAGATGGTTGTCGATTTTAAATTTGCAACTCGCCAAACTATGTGAAACCATTTTCAAAACACAAGGGTAAGTTTTTGCAAAACCAGCATACTACAGTTTTAATTAATTAATTTATTTTTCTGAGTTAAATGAGGTGGAGGAAATTTGAACCTTCAACCTTTTAGGATGTAAGTAATATTTTGACTAGTTGAGTTATGTTCATATTGGTATTAGTAAACTACAGTTATGTGATTAATACCACTTCATATATCTAGATCTCCAAACGTAAGCTCTGTCAAATTTCAAAGCTTAGCCAAAGTTTTGTGTCCCGCGTTTATCTTGCTTTTCAATTGTAGACTGTTTGGAACTCTGGCACTTAGTTATCCTTCCAGATAAGGAAGTCAGTTAAGCTTAAGCATCACACAAAAGTTGGTTTTACAGGGGACGTTGGAAGTGTTTACTTTGGTCCAAATCATCCAATGAAACCACATCGGCTCTGTATGACTCACCATCTCGTTCTCTCGTATGAGCTTCATAAGAAGATGGAAATTTATGTTAGTCTCTTTCTTTTTTATTACGTCTTATAGTGACGCTCTTAACGTCTGCTTGTAGGTTTATTGTTCTTCTTGTTGATTTTTGTTCTACCAGCTCAGGCTATACATGTTTTTGTTTTGATGTATAATGCAGCGTCCCCACAAAGCATATCCTGTGGAGCTTGCTCAGTTCCATTCAGCTGATTATGTGGAATTTCTGCACCGAATAACTCCAGATACTCAACACTTGTTTGCCAATGAACTGTCTAAATGTAGGGATTTTCTCTTGATCTCTTTCACCATATCTCTGCAGTTCCTTGGCATTTGTATACATGGAACTAGCGATAAATTTGACAAATATTCAATCTATGTCAGATAATCTTGGAGAGGATTGCCCTGTCTTTGAGAACTTGTTTGAATTCTGCCAAATATATGCTGGTGGAACAATAGGTAATATTCAATAATGGACATCTTGCAATTCATGCCAAGAATATTAAGTCCTTGACTCGTTATTGTCATCCTCCTTGCAGATGCTGCACGCAGATTAAATCATCAACTATGTGACATTGCAATAAATTGGGCAGGTGGCTTACATCATGCTAAAAAGTGCGAGGCTTCTGGGTTTTGTTATATCAATGACTTGGTTTTGGGGATACTAGAACTTCTGAAGTATCATTCTCGTGTTTTATATATTGACATAGATGTACATCATGGTGATGGGGTAGAGGAAGCCTTTTATTTCACTGACAGGTACAACATGACCTACACTTTCTAGTTCTACAATGAATCTACACTCGGAAACAGGAAAATTTGTTCTATTGAGTGTTTGATATAAGAAAATTTGATAAAAGTTGAAGTTGGCATTAGATGTACGGACATTAACTTTCTGCTTGTGAATTCATATTTCTAGATTATTGTTACTTACTTTTTAAAAAAGCGTGTATATTGGTAGAATGAAATAAAATTTATAGAATGGGAGAATCCGAGAAAAATTCTCTAGAATAATGGAAAGGAATCCTAGCTAGCGGTTGCAAGTGATGATAGAGAGATAATAAGTACAAAAATCCCTGATATTAGAGCTATAAGGAGGATAGAAATTCCACAAAATTTTCTGTCAGACCTTATATGGGTTGATAGGTCAAGTTGTGGAGAACTTCAAAATCTTTTTATAATTACTCTTCTTTTCTACTCTAAATCAATTGAATATGTTTTTTTTTTCTTTTGTAATTTCATATTCTTGGATGGGGAGGATACGCTTCCATTTTCATTATATTGTAGCTCTCTTCTAATTCTTAATGTTCACAATCCTCCATGACAGGGTGATGACCGTTAGTTTTCACAAGTTTGGGGACTTGTTTTTTCCTGGAACTGGTGACGTTAAGGTGACCTTTCTAAATTTTCTAATCTCTTTGTTGGTGCTCACAATGGAGATGTTAGAAATTACTGAATATTAGCTGATATATTGCCCTCTTTGCTCTTCTTTTCCACATTCCTCTATTGTGTCATTGCTGTCTGTTTCAGAATATATATTTGTGTGCTTAGAAGAGCCTTCAGGGTATGATTTCACTGTTATTTTACGTACATCGGTGGATATGGATTTTTTTTCCCCCACACATCTTTGCTTGATATGATATTCATTTTTTTATTGGTACCACTACCTTCTTAGATTGGTTAATTTTTTTTTAAAAAACTTGAAATTCATTTTTTTTATTGTTGCGGCAAGGAATTTCGTTAGTTGGAGAGAAACAAAGGGGTGTTTTACATGGTCTGATGCCGACACAAATAAATTTTTATTCTAATAAATTTTTACATGGTCTGATGCCGACACCCCCCCCCCCCCCCCAAAAAAAAAAAAAAAAAAAAAGGAAAGGGGAACTAGAAATTTTTATCCTAATAACGTTGATAAACAGGATATTATTCTGCTCTTAAGATTCTAAAATTTGGAAGCTCGATGGTACTCATAGATATTAATATTTTGAAGGAAATAGGAGAAAGAGAAGGGAAGTTTTATGCCATTAATGTTCCACTGAAGGATGGAATAGATGATGGTAGCTTCACCAGACTTTTTAGGACTGTAAGTTGAATAAAAGCTCTTTGGAATTAAGCTTTATGCCTTTGCTGTTAATTTCTATTGACCAGGCTGTGAATTCTGTATGTATAGATTATCTCCAAGGTTGTTGAAATGTATCGACCAGGTGTCATTGTTCTCCAGTGTGGAGCCGATTCATTGGCTGGTGATCGATTAGGCTGCTTCAATCTCTCTATTGATGGTATGTTTTTATTGTAATTAATGGACTTTGGACCCTCCCTCCCCTAGCAGGGAAAAGCAAAAAAAAAGAAAAAGAAAAAAAACCTCCATTTCTTCCGCCTTTTTAATTAAATTGGAGGCAGTGTTGCAAGTAACATTAAGTTCTTTATTCTTCCAACAGGTCACGCTGAATGTGTTAGATTTGTCAAGAAATTCAATTTGCCATTATTGGTATGCTTTTTTTGGACTAAAATTCTGTATTTAATTGTATATAATTATAACGAGATATTCATAGAACTTTCTGTACCCAAAGGTTACTGGAGGTGGAGGTTATACCAAAGAGAATGTAGCTAGATGTTGGACTGTTGAAACGGGTGTTCTTCTGGATACAGAGCTGCCAAATGGTATAAAAAGTCAAATAGTATTTTCCTCCAGCCTTTTTTATTCCTTTTCTCTTGGTTTTCCTTTCAATACTTCTTATTTCTATTAGATTTTTCCTTCCATCTTTATTACCTGTTTAGATTTCTATTTAGTGCATAGTTTTTGCCTTGTTAAATTGAAAGGTTTTCTCTGAAGCTTGCATGTTAATTACGCTGAATATTTTGCCTGCTCTGCTGTTTAACCAGTGCCTGATATTTACCCCAACCAATTTAAACCTCTTTCTGTTTTTTTTATAAAATATTTCTGATTCATAATGTGGAAGTTTCTGTGCATGTTCTCTCGAGTTAAGAATCATGGACGCATGCTGAAAATCTAAGCTTTATTGCAGAAATCCCAGATAACGAGTATATCAAATATTTTTCTCCAGATCATTTGCTAAGAATTCCAAATGGGCATATGGTTGGTACTTTCTCCAAATTTACGAATCTTATTTGCTTTCT